GGGGGGGGGGGGGGGGGGGGGGGGATGGAATGTGTGTGTCGGCCGAGGGGACCTACCGTCGTTGGTAGCCCTGAATGCGATTGACTTGAGCATGCCCATGACGTAGAGCGGCAGCAGCCTCAGCGGCTCCCCGCCCTGCGTGCCTGTCCCCGCACTGGCCACGATCTGGCTGCACGACGACTGCAGAAACGTCCGCGCGTCAGCCAACTTGGCCTTCAACGCCTGATCACGTCAACACAACACAGGCATGTCATGGTATGAAGACACACACATATGATACAAGTGCCAGTGTGTGAGTGCGTGTACCTACCTGGTCGACGGCTTGTTGGGAGAGTAGGCTCGCCGCCGCCTGGGCGTCCATCGAGTTCATCATCTCCTGGACAAACAAAACGAACCAACCAGCGTATGGGATGGGTGGTGTGGGTGGTGTGAGCGTAGCGTACTGGGAAGCTCTGTGTGACGGGCATCGAGTAGGTGTGCACACGGATGCGGCGCTCCCCTGATTGACACACACACATACACACCCCGACCGAATATGAATGTATGTAGATATCTTCCCATGCGAGCGATGCGGGCCGGGCAGCCCAGTTCAGCCACCTGTGTGTGTGTGTGTACCTACCGTCAGAGTTGGTGTAGAGCAGGGCGCATTGGACGCACACAATCGGCTCGGGAATGACCTGAGTCAGTCATACATAAGATGGATGTATCGACACACAGTCCTCCTCCCTCTCTCAAGTGGCTCACGTTTTCCTCCAGGTCGAGGCAAATTGAGAAGGTCTGGTCGCTGTGGCAGTTGGGCACCACCAACAGATCCATCCCCCTTAACAAACAGGCATACACACATGACCAACACACACGCACACATACAGAGAGAGAGAGAGAGAGAGAGACGGCACAATGGGTGGGCTGGCTTGTGTGTGCCTGTCTGGGTGTATCTGGTGCACACATCGCATTGCAATCGAGAGTGTGTGTACCTGATGTAGAGGTGTCCGAAGAAGTTGGTGATCTTCCACCCACGCGACACGCGGATGCGCATCACCGCCTCCCAACTACACACGCACACACACACACACACGCACAAATGTTGTTGTCCGTCTGAGTGCGCGTGTGTATGCTGTCGTCTGTCTCATCTGTCTCACTGACTGACCCCATGTTCCTCGTGAGCACGTGCAGCAGCTCCTCACGCAACTTGTCACCTGGGCGCAGACACATCACACGGAGAGAGACGGATGGGTGTTTGTAGATAGATGGGGCACACACTCGATTCGTGTAATGGTCGCTCGCTGACCCTGCTGTGAGGCGTTGAAGTTGCTGTAGTAGTGGAGGTCGCCGCCCGTGAACTTTACCAGCGGCGCCAAGGACGCGGCGTCCTACACACAACACATGCATGTGTGGGTGGGTGTTGTGTGGGGTTGGGTATTTTCTTGTCCTTTTCTTGCTCGCTCACGATGTATTGGTTTGGGCAGAGGAAGAGCTCCACACTGATCTGCACCCTCGTCAACTCGACAGCCAACGCCTGAAGCGCATGCATGGCATGAAGGAAGGACACACGGCGACCATGATGATGACACGCGCGTCTATGGTCAAGGTGCTCATGCATGCCCTGGCTGACTGACTTTGTATTCCTCGTCGGCAGGTTTGAGCAGCTCCACCTCCCTCTCGGTGTTGAGCATCGGGGGCTTGTACCGATTGTACTTGAGCTGAAGCTGCAGCCAGCCGATCCAGCCACACACACCAACACCAACACACAGAAATACAGAAGACAGACAGCGGTGTGCAAGCCGGGGCGCCCTCTGCCAGTCTGCGGTGCGTGTGATGGTAGGCCCCGTGTTTATGTGTGTGTATGTGTGTGTGGATGTACCTACCTCTCCAACAGTGGGTAGTGTGGATGCGAAGACGAGGACCTTGCCGCCGATGTGCTTGACAGCCATGTGAGCCGCCTTGACGGCACTCCCCTGATTGATACACCACACACGCACACACACACAGACAGAGAGAGAGGGCCGACGTTTGTGCGTTGTATGGATGTGGTGGGCGTCCCGCAGTTACCCACCAGGCAAGATTCGTTGATTTTGGTGTTGCGATGCATGCTGGGCAGCGAGTCCAGCAAACCCTGCACCACCTGCACACACACACACACACACACAAACAAAGGAAGGAACAAGGTCACGACAGCCGCAAGACCATGATGCCACGAGCAGCCGAGCCACACGCACCTTCTCGCTCTCCGACGCGTTGACGAGGATGTCATCCTGAGTGACACAGGCAGGCAGGCAGGCAGGCAGACACACATCTGCCAGCTACACCGAGGCAGGCCGGCAGGCGGCTGCGTCGAGAGCTGCTTACGGGGAGAGGTAGGAACAGGTCTTCTAGGTCTGACACGACCAGCATCTGCGGCTGCGCGAGGCCGCCGTTGAGGTTGTAGAAGTGAATCGACGAGTCGAACGTCATGATGCCTACACAACATACACACACAGACAGACACACAGAGTATACACAGAGGGCAGAGGAGGGACGCGTGTGAGTGGACAGCCATGAACGCACGAACACACACACACATGGGCTCTGTCTGTCTGTCTGTGTTGGTTCGTCAGAAACTGTATGTGTGTTCAGTGTGGCGTCGCGGCTTCACGGGGGTTCAGTCCGTGAACAGCACGACACACTCACACAAACTGTGATAATTTCAGACTCATCATCCGAACGCAACACAACACAACACAACACAATCCGACACGACAGACACCCCACGGCACAACACAAGACAACACAACACACACCAAAGTACCTACACACATACAAGCATCTAGA